AGATTAAATAGTTTTGAGAATATTTAGGTTTCTAATTTAAGATAAATAATTTAATAACAACTAGCCTACTTCAAAATTTATCAGAATATTTATTCTAAATTAAATTCCATACCAATTCCATAACTGTAATAAATAGCAGTTTTAAAAATTTTATTAGAATTATCTGCCATAGCTGATTTCTGATAATATATAAATGTTTTATACTTGTCTATTTCAATACTAATTCCTGAATAATAACAATAGCCAACTTGATATATTCAGTTAGAATTATTCATATTAGCAGATTTTTTATAATGAATAAACACTTGATTTTCATCTTTTTTAACTCTAATTCTATATTCATAACAATAACTAAGCCAGAATATTCTGTTTAGATTATTCATATCTGCAGATTTTTGCGATCAATAAAATTTAGTTGATTAAGAATGCTAGAGTATTCTCAAACACCTCAATCATAGCTAAATTAATAGATTGGAAGATTAATTTTTAATTAGTGAAAAAACAGTGAAAATAATTTTTACTAATTAAAAACTGATCTTCTAATTTATTAATTTAGCTATAATTGAGGTGCTTGAGAACACCCCTAGTCATTTTAGTAACATCATATGATGAACTTAATATCTTTTGTTTTATTCTATAAATAAATAAAAAAGTTATTAAATATTGAATATCAAGAAAAAATAGTTACTACTGTTATCAATTAATTATAGCTATAGTTATTTTAGATATAGAATTAATCTGTTGTAGTTACTTTGTTTGCTAAAATATATTGGTTAATATTATAGTCTCAAATATTATTACATCAGACTAGTACAAATAAAAAAAATCAAAATATCGATATAATATAAACTTTTATACCAGGTATATCCATCAAATATTAACTTGTAGAATAGAACTATTAAGTAGTGATAAATAAGTATTTACAATTATAATTTGCTAATTTTAATTCTACTAATTTATAAACCATCTTATACTCACTTGCTAGATAAAATTAATTGAAGAATATATAGGCAATAGTAAAATCTTATAGCAGGTTAAATTTTATATTATTACACTGCCACTTAAGTTAGCTAATAAGATATAGGATTTTGTAAACAGAGACTATCTAAATGCCATATCCACATATTTGTTACAATGTTTTTTAACTGTTATATGATTCCTATTTCTTTCATCTAGTTAAGTGATAGTATAATTATTAATTCGTTAATGAGTGAGTATAAAGATTATTAATTCACAAACCTAGTTAAAAATTCTGGAATTAAATCCTTATCAAATTGAACGTAATTGAGTAACTCCTAAGTTTGATAAAAAAAAACAACTGACAAGTAAAGCCTAAGAATAGTAGGTTCTGGTTCAGTTTGAATTTCAGACTATTTCGGAACTTGACTAAAGCTCAACACAGGTTCATAAGGACATTATTATTCTTTAAATTTATAATACGAAATTACTGCTTAGTAGAAATCCTATTCTGAACATATCAAGAATAACCTTTATACTCATTACTAAATTGTGAATTTGAATTGATAACTTTATTATTACATACTAAATTTAATATAATAAATAAGATACTATTTAGTATAAATTCATATAATTTTGAAACAACTGCTTAAATAGATTTTATACTCGTATAATAAATTAATATGACTTGAATAATATATTGATAGCTCTAAATTAATTTGATATCACTACTTAGTAGCAAAGATTTGAGCCACAAATTAAAAATAACTTTTATACTTACATGCTAATTAACACAATTAAACATTGTCAATAGATTGATAAATGACTTACACGATAAATTAATAAAATTATCTATTATCATTAATCACTTCTTATAATTCTCCAGATCAATAAAGTATTTTTTCTTCTTAAAGAATAGTATTCAGAAATAAATTTGAAGTAGTGTAGATTATAAAATACAAAAAAATAAACAGCTTATAGTCATACTATAATATTCAATATGATATTTTAACAGTTTTGAAACTCTAGTAATAAATCTTCATAAACTTAAATTGCAAATTTTAAATAGGTTAATGAGTAACGTATTCTAAATTATATGATTTAATTATTAATAAATTACCTTTATACTTACAGTATATAAAACAATTAAACTTAGAATTAATACATTAACAATAGTGCTAATATGCTTAAAAGTAGGTCTTTATAAAATTAAATCATAGATTAAATATGCTTAAGTAAATTAACTACTGGTAACAAATAACCTTAATATATGTATAAATTAATAAAATGAGATATTGTTTAGTAGTAAATTATATGTTTGAAATATAAACTTTAAACTGTTTAAAGAGTAATTATTATACTTGCCAATTAAATTAACAAGAACAAATCAATGAAAGTAGTTAATGAATAGAATAGCCAAATAGCTTTATTTAAATCTAATGATTTATATCAAAGTTTTACATATAATTCAAACCTCTATTTTACAAATACTGTTCAAATTTTCTTAATATAATAACTTTAAGGCTTATCTGTTTTAGTGTTTTTATAGTTTTTTTGATAATGACCTATATTGTTGCATTTTTTATAATGTTTTAGTTGCTTATTATTTAACTTATTACTTGATAATTTAAAACGTTTAGTACCTAATAGTAAAAATAGAATATGTATTTTTAAAGTATAAATATCGTCTATAAAAAATAGTTTAGTAAAACTATATAAAAAATAATAATTTTATAATTCTTACCCAATAGACGTCCTTTTCTATACTTTTTTTTAGGATTTTGAATCATATTCATTTGTTTATTATCACTTTCTTCTTGGTTTTCTTTATTGTCTTCTTGGTTTTTATTACTTTTTTGGTCTTGATCACTTTTTTCCTGATTTTTATTATCTGATTGTTCAATAAGTTCATGTAATAATTCAATTAGCTGCTAAGATTTTTCTTATTTTTAAGTACTTTTTTAAGTGCTTTTTTGTATATCCCATATATCTCTTCATATATAGCTTTTTGCTGTAATATCATAAGACTTTTTTCTTGAAAATCTTGATTATTTTGACCAAATATACATAAATAATCAATAGAAATATTCAATTCTTGTAATATATTACAGTCTTTATAAAATTTATCAGCTAAGATAAAAGATTCTTTTGTTCCATTCAGATCCTTATAATACCAATAAGAAGGAATAAGACAAATATAAAATTTGGCACTATTTGTTATAGTATTACTTAGAAAAAATGTTTACAAATGATTCCTTGATGAATTGTGGATAAACAAGTACAATGATGGGAATTTTTCTTTAAAAGTACTATAAAATAATTTATAGTCATTAGTTATCAATAATTACTGACCAGACTTTGATAATATTAATTACTTTAACAATAGAAATAATTTGTTTAATAGTTATTTGCTAAATTTCTGCTACTAATATATTATGTATCTCATAATTATTCTTTTTAAAAAAAATAAAATAGAATTAATAATTTTAAATGTTTAAAAAAAATAAAAATA